GAGTACTCTCAACTTGGATCTCGTCCAATACTAACTCATCTAAATGTTCGGAAAATGATGTGATTGCAGGCTCGTTTACGCATCTCGGTTTCACATATTGACAAAGAAATATTTTTGCTTGTTTTCGCATTTCATGTTCGCAGAATTTTTGTTTCGATCAAGCTCAGACGCATATTCGGTCATTCTTTGAAGGAAACAGACAGTTTCTATTTTGAAAAATTACCTCGGTCATTTATAAAGACACCAATTGTCTAGATTCGAGTAAAACATGTTTGATTTATTTGTCCAAGAGCGAGTTCTACCTGATGGAATTCATACACTTTCGAATATTCAATGAAACCAACTTTGTCGACGCGCTATAATAATCATTCGAATTGTTATACAGTGTGTCCCAAAATTGATAGACCGGGAAGCCAAAGTTTTTTGTTTCTGGTATATCTACGATAAATGAGCTATAGGGGCAGGGGATTTCGACGATGTCAAGTTTCGCTTATAACCAATGTTAAGACGACGATCACCCATGGGATTAGATAATTGCAGTTTAAATTATTTGCAAATAAAAATGGCTACTACACTCAGTGGTTAGAATACACGTCCGTCCATAAATGATAAGAAAAGAGGAATCCGTCGTTCCACCATCGTTCCACCTGTATTTCGAGTATAACCAGGTTGGGTAGCATAATAATCCCTACTATCTGATATCATTTTGTAGGGCATTGTATCCTCCAGCTACACTGAAAAAATCACGAACATATATTTTTTATTCTTGAGATAATGTCGAAATACTAGATAAACTGCGTGCTTTGATGCATTGTGAAAAAAACATAAAAATACTGCATCAAGCGGAAGCGATGACTTATGATCTGGCATTGAAATACACTTAAATATTCACAAAATATTAGCTGTAACTCAGTAGTGTAAGGAACTTCAGAGCTCAGCTTTATGAGGAAGGAAATGCTTGAAATCAGCTTACCTTTTCGTTAAAATATACGGCTACAAGAAAGAAATGCTCTTATCGATTGGTTTAGAAGCTACCTAACGAACAGACAAATGGTTACTATGGTTGATGGTACTACTTCGGATCCCCTACCTGTTTCTTGAGCTGTTCCACAGAGATCAGTCCTAGGCTCTCTCCCCTTTCTAATATTTATCGACGACCTTCCCCTGAGATTAACGTCTACCTGTAAACTGTTTGCTGATGACGTATCATTGTATAGTGACGCTGATGACTTAGGGAGAGCTGTCTCTACTATGAACGCTGATTTGGACAGAATCAATCTTTGGTCTAAGCAGTGGTCTCTGCCACTAAATATTAATAAGTGTGTCGCCATGTTATTTTCCCATGATAAAACCCTATTTCCTTCTTCCTTGTTTATTGATAATATAGCACTAGAATATGTTAGGAAACACGTTCACTTGGGTTTATGTTGGAATCAACGTTAGACTGGTTGCCTCATATCAGTAATATTCGTACTAAACTACTGCATGTAGTCGGCTCAATGAAATATTTGAGCAGACGTGTTTTCCGTCAAACCTTGGTCTCCGTCTACCATACGTTTGTTCTTAGTGTTATTAACTACGGACTTGTTATCTATGGGGAGCAACTACTACAAATATAATTCGCTTGAACCAAATTCAGTATCAAGCAACTCTTGCTGCTTCGGGTGTGATGCGAGGAACATCTCTGAGTAAAATTCTTCAGGATCTTGGATGGCTCTCTATTTCACAACTTCTTCACACTCATTCTTAGGCTCTAAGATATAAAAGCTTGAGTTTACGGGTAACTTCAAACACTTTATCTAATGAAATCATAAAAACTCGTTTTAATCTTTGACTATGTTATGAGTACTTTGCCTGTTGCTTGGTATCCCTTACGAATCCTCCCTTAAGATATCCCCAAAAAACAAAAAAGTAGAGTATCATGAACATTGTTACAAAAGAATTGTCCAATGTGTCGAATGAAGCTGTTTTCTGGCCTTCTGACTTTTTTTGAAAAAACCTAAAAAGTTTTTCAGAAGCCTGAAATCTGAAAAACCTGGCAGGTATTTCGATCTTTTTACTCTCAGCTCTGGAACTTCTAATTAGGTCGACGAAGAGGGAAGATTCTATCTGAAGCTGAGCGCGCGAACTATGTGAGCGTTCACATTTAATCTGGAAATAGGTCTTCGAAAATGGTTTATCAATACGTGTTTCGAGAAAAAACAGACTGTTTTGATAAACAGATTGTACTAATCAATAAAAAATCAATTGATCATGTCTGTTTGTGAAGAAAGTTGTTTAAACACGTGAAAAATGAATAAGCTACAAACACGATGTGACAGCAAAAAGCTACAAAATGGTGCAACAGCTCGATTTTCGGTGAGTATGTAAATACGAGCGAAAAGTGATTCATCCTGAGATAGTTGTACCATTACATAATAGCCATGTTAGCGGCGGTGAGGCTGTACCTGTATCAACAGGCAGTAACCAGAAAATAGACATTTTTCACGAGTTAAAGAGTATACTGTGCTCTTCCCTCATCATACTATTTATATCATTTCTTTAGATGCTCAAATGATAATTCTATTTAATTTGTGAACAAATTATGTCTCGCTTTATTTCATAATTCTGACTGTTGCTTATTATTTGGATCTGTCAGTCTTATTTATTATAGCTCCTATTACTAGAGTCACCTATTATTCGCGTTCATAATAATATACTTTTTAACCAATAGGTTTTTTTCTTGTTCTGTAGGGATGCGAACGATCTGTAGAAGTACCAAAAAAAACGTCAGAAAATATTCATTGAAGTCGATATCGTTAGTGAATTTTTTTTCACAGTTTGTACAATATTTAGAAGTTTATCCGGGAAGTCGATCTTTGGCATTAGCATTGCAGTTTCGGTATTGTAGCTAAGATCTTTTTTGAAGAAGGACGGGTCAAACCCCTTTCAATAATAATATTCTGTACGTTATCGTTTTTGTTGATCTAGTCATTCATAATGCTTGATAAAAGAGAGCTAAGAACTGCTGAGAAATGCAGCTTTTCTTCTATGCATCAACATACATTATTCATTGATTAGGCTTACATCTTGTATGTAACTGTATCCGTCCCATAGTCTATTGACGGGAGTATAAGAGGAAAATGAAAAATGGTAACATCAAAAGAAAGGAAAATGTAAGCGGTATCTTTGATCTCTACAGCTGAACTCTATTTTCTCGTTTCTTTGCTTATACCGTATGGAACTGTCATTTAGGATTATTTCTCAACTAAGCAACAAAAGAGGACTATACCCTCTCGAGAAACCAGGCGACACCTACTTTGATACTCACTCTAATAATCACTATTCATTTCCCAAAATGTCAACTCGATCCGTCTAGCGCAAAAAAAGTCGATCTTTCAACCTCTCTCATAATGTTTTGTAACTTTAATCGGTAACTAAGAGTGTAAGATGCTTCACTTTATCATATAAATTGGACGTTGATGACGATCGTTCTTAAACTCTGAAAGAAAAACAACGAAAAACTGTTCTTCGTGGTTGTTTTGTTTTGAAACATATGCATGTCTTCAAATTTGTACGAAACACTTCTAATACTCCTTTCTGGTTTCAACTGTTTATATTCCCTTTAAGCGAATTTTATGTGATCTCTGGTGATAATGGAGACATCGTTCTCTACAGAACTACTGAACATAGGGAACATCGGTAAACGGAATTTTATAAATACTGTAATTTCATAAATGAAGGCTTTAATTGTATAAAATCCTGTGTGGATTCGATGCCATAAGGTACAAAAGCTGAAGGAAGAATGAGTCAAAACTTAGACTTTTCTCATACATTTATTAAGTATTCATTGTCAAAAGTGAATAGACCCTAGAGTCTGTTGACATCAGAATTTTTATATAGCGCAATTGTAATATTTTTTCTCTGTTTTTGTCAAACTCAATGATTCTGTTCGTAAATGTATGAAGGAAAATGGGTACAGTACCGACAAATTAAAGTAAATATTACTTTTTTCATTTTTATTTTTTTTTCTTATTGAGTCATTTTCTTTCTTCTCTCTTAAATAAATACAAGAAAAAATAATTCGTTTCAGCGATGACATTTCACGACCTTTTATTGTTTTTTGATTTCATTCAATTTTAAAATATGATGACGATAATGAAATATAAAACAAATATCCAGTGCTTCGAAGCGTTTTTGTTTTGTACTTTATCATACATATTTACATGAAAAGAGTCTTGTGAGAGACAGCAGATGTAGTATGTTAAGTAACGCTTGATATATTTGAAAATCTTTTCTGTATACCAATGCCGAATAAAAGCTTAAAAACACATGGATGCTATATTGTTTTAAATCTCCTTTTCCAGAACTTGAAGAGCCTGAAGTAGCAAATGACTCTGCCTTTACATCGATTTAAGACATGCTCTTTTCTTGACAACCGATATTGTGCTTGATCCTAACGCAAATAAACCTAATATACATATAGATTATAAGCTTTCTCATGTAAATCTTTCACTGGTTTTAATTCCTGATGACAAGTGCTTAGGTGACGGCAAATTTAGTGGAATAATTGGCCTATGTTAGATCATTGCAACTGCATTGAAAAAATGAATACATTTAGTAGTGAAAATACGTAAAATTCGATGTAGCTACATCTAGGCCTCATCGGTTGTGTCCAGGTATCGAGCAGTTCCTTTTATCTGGCTCTGGTGAAGAACTGCAACTGTGGAACCGTACACGCTATACATTCTTCTTCCAATTAGTTAAACGAATGGTTGTATGAAGTCTTTTTGATCTGACACACTTGAGTTTTCTTCTTCTCTTATTTTCAGTATTTACTTTTAGTGTCCACATTCACATTTCTACTTTTATATCGGATAATCATCTTCACACACATGCACAAACTTGCTTAAAAAGAGTAGAATAAAGTGAGTATACTAACACTTTTAAGCGTGCTATGTAATACACAAATAATCATCTTCATTGTCTTCGTTGAAGAATCTAACTCACCAATTACCATCATGCCAGAAGCAGAAGGTGAACAACCTACAACAAATAGTGTTACAAAGGGTACAGCTGATAGTACAACATCACAACATGGTGGTGGTAATAATAATACAATAGAAGAAGTAAAACGTACAGATCGTGATGGAAATGATACAACAACAGGTGCCGATGATGAAACACCACATACATATAAAGTACCACGTGCACCACCACATATTTACGCATGTTTTGTTAAAAATTTAACTGACCATTCAACTGATGTTTGTTTGGAATGGTATGGTCGTCCAAATGAACATGAATTTGATGAATTAAATCATTTCACATTACAGCCACAAGAAGAAAAACATACACAACGTAAAATATTTCAGCCAGATTTACCAAAGAATCCTGGCGAAGAATTTGATCATGATAAACATTCATATTGTTCATGGGTTAAAATATTAAATCGTGTTACAGTAGAACATAAAGGTGCGAATAATAAAAAGAAAATGGAAATTGTTTATCCATTTGAGAATGTACATTGTCCAATACGTAATTGGGAATTTCATGTAACGGATATGCATATTGAATCACATCCACCAACGCGTCCCGTAAATGTTTTGAAATATGAAAATTTAACTGATATTGAGAAATAGAAAATTTGAATGGACAAAGATAACTGAATGACACAATGTATGGAACATAGAATAATAAGATGTAAATGAATATTTAATGTGTGGTTTTTTGAAAGGTTTGATTAATAAATACCCATTTCATATTAAAAGAAGTTGTCAGAGTAAATCATAAAACTCCGGAACGCGAGCAGGTAGAGACTTGCGCTTTTTTGCACTCGAGAGGGACTTGTGAACCTAGAAAACGAAAATGTTTCTTTGGTTGAAGTCTGAATGATTTTTGGAAAAGATTTCTGGAAAATTATAGTATCTGAGAGGGGTTCGAATTTCTGATGTTTTGTTTTTCACCTTGCTATACAATAGACCAAACATCGATGTAGAACCTGGCACAAGTTTCATGTCTCCATCACACTATCAATCACTTTTAGACGCTGAGTGTACTAAAAGGTGACAGCCAGAATAATTGGTAATGACTATGAGGAACTAGAGTCCTGTTACCATGACTTTTTTGATACCGTTTACTATACCATTACCATCGATAGAAATTTTTTTTACCATTACGATTACCATTCTCATGAATGTTTTACCATTACCATTTCCATTATCGGGGTAATGGAAATGGAATTCCCATGGTAATAGAACTTTTTCCCATAGAAGAGAAAGGAAAAAACATAAACACGTGCATGAGGCACGAAATAAAGAATATGTAGGATCACGGACTACCTTGAACGTTATATAACGTTTGACTGTATTATATACACTAAAGGGATATACGGTACCATTTATAATAAAGAGATGGTATCATTATGAACTGGAATCTAAAATGTATCCGTTACCACTACCACTGCCATGAATTTAAATTTTTGTTACCATTTACCATCTATTACCAGGAATTAAAATCCTTTTTTTACCATTATCATGGTAATGGTATGCTACTGGAATTTTTTTGTTACCGCAGAACTATAAATGGAACCTCTTGCCACGATCTGCCATATCCCATTTTACCATAGGACTTTCTTTAGAATATCTTTCATTTACGGGCGAGCGCACAGTTACACACTATCGCAAAAGAAAAGCGTCCTAAAAAAATCAGCAGTTACAGCTGATTAACTGGAGAAAATTCCCCGACCATTTTGCAAAATTTTCTTCACTCGATTATTGGTCTTGGTACCTGAACATTTTCCAAATGTTGCTTAATGAGCTTAAGAATACTGATTATCCTGATCAATTTTGCTTAAAATAAGTAAGATCCGTCTGTGTGTGTACGTTCGTCACAAAGATCCATATGTTCATTTGAACCTCCCATCCATTTCACTATTTCGTCTTTTTATCTTTTTTTACATTTTAACGTTGCACCTTTTCGTCGTAATAAAATAATGTATTTAAACGACTAGATTTAATATGTTTTTGAAGCTTCTGTGTGTCTTGTCAGCTGGAGTTTAACAGATCTACAAATTTATTCTATTCTGTTGAGGGATATATTTTCATTTTATTGGTGCTTTTGCCATTAGTTTAGTCAACTTTTCATAGTACTTTTGAATTTTTTCAAAAGTTTAGTCCAGTATTCAGATACTTCATTTTATTTCATTTTTACTAAATTTTCTCCTACAATCGCTTAATTTAATAATCGAAAAGCTTAAAAAGTGACTGTTTTAGCTTTTTGACACAGTTTCCTTCATAAATATTGGCAATAAAAATTTTTACTTTGCTGGTCATACAAACACATGTGTGCGTGTGTCTGACTTATTTGCAATGATTTTTTCCAATTCTCTTTCTTTCCTTGTTTTGAAGTAAATGTGCATTCAAACAGGAATGTGGCTGATTACATATGTATATATAAACCAGTGTGAGTACGTCTTCTTTTCATTTTACTTCACAATACCAATACGATATTGAACGAGTATTATCGAGTGACGCTGAGCATAGAAATAAACTATTAAAGAAATATAAGTGAGATGATGATCGTATACTACAGAATAAAGTATATTCAATACCTAACACAAAATTTTGCCTTGCTGCTTAGACTGTAAACTATTTAAAAGTATAATTTGTGCAAGTGTAATGTTTTATTCTATTTCTCGTACTCCTGTCGGGTAATCTGTACCGAGATCTTTCAGCTACTCTCAAAATTCGTGCAGCGATCATCTTGTTTCTCACATGTTAGAACTGTCATTTTTTAACGCCTTTGATGCGACGAGGAAGTGCTCAGAGCCGCTCGAAACTTTGACGTATTTTCTCATAAGGCTTGAAAAGAATGTGATTGATATTAGCTATAAGACTGGTGACTTCGAACTGTTACTTTAGTTACTAAAATGTCTTTTTTTTTCACAATCAAACAAAATCTTTATAATTTCTAGAGACTGCTGCATTTGCCATATTAAATTTAAATTCAGCTAAAAATGCCTGCCGCATTGGATGTCACACTTGATAACGAAGTTGCATCAACTTTAGCTGCAGCAACATCCGGGACAGCGCCTGGTGATCCAAACATCAACCCGCATACAGGTAAACCACATCGTAATCCACGCTATCCTACTCCACCTCCACACGGTCTCGGTTTACTACCACCACCAAAATTTGTTCATTCTGGTACGGTTCGAAATCTAACTAATCAATCAGTTCATTGTACGGTGCACTACTGTGGTCATTATATTGAAGATACACAACATTTAGAAACTGTGGAAGGTGATTTAGAAGCAAAAGTTGGTAAACTACATTTTTATGAAAAAAAATTTCGTCATCGACCAGAAACAACGCATGATAATCGTAAACGTATATATAAACTAACTGTTAAACGATCAGATGGTATAACAATGGAATTGAATGAACCATTTGAAAATATTGATCGTCCAAAAGCAGTATGGGAATTTTGGGTTAAAGATAAAAAAATATTATCAATTGATCCACGTGAAGATCAAGATTTAAAAGAAGAAAAACAAAAGGCTTAACTACTGATTAAGAAGGTAAATATTAACATAAAATAAAAGATTTTATGAGATAATAAAAATAGTTTATATTAACTAATTCTAATCTATGATGGATTTCTATTTTATTATTTTGAATAAAAAATAAGAAGCGTGAAAATAAAGAGACTCAAACAAAAGTAGAAGGCGAGTGGTTTCATAAAAAATTTGACTTAACGTATATGCAACTTAAAATCCAGATGATTTCGCAATGCCAGGGTTATAGGACCTCATTAATTGTACTAATGTGCCTCATAGCCCACGTTCGTGAATTAGGTAGAGAACGAGTAGTTGCAGTAGACTTGTTGAAAGATAGCAATTTTTTTTGCTTTTAGAATTAAAAAAATTTCGATCGATTTGTAGCATGCAGAACAAAGCGGCTAGAAGCAAGCAGAGACCGTGATAGGACAGAACTACCCTGCCAACCTGCCTTCCCCTATTGTAGGGCAAAGTAAAGCCAGAGTGGATCAAAAGTACTTGCCCTGTTCATAAACATTGTCCAAAAGTTCTGCTGAGAATATTCGAAAAAGACTGTACATTCTTAAATCAATGCCCCAGCAGCTAAATCGAGCAAAATCTGAGACTACTTTCTAAATGTAAGTCTTGCATTCGAATTTGAAAATCGCGATAGACCTTGATGGCGTCATGACCAAAACGCATCTGTGCCCTTTTCGTTTTTGCAGACTGCATTTTTTTCTCAAGCCGAAAAATAGATATACAGACTAGATATATAGATATTTAGATATTTGGAAATGGACCCCCACTAGATATACAGATATTTAGATATTTACAGTTTGTGCAGGTTCAGGTGCTGAAGTATGTATGTTGGGGTATGCTGACCTTTCTGACAGCTTATGATGACTCTGCACAAGATATTGTACGCAGTCAGTAATTTTCTTATGATCCTTAAGTGGTTTAGTTCACATGATAATAACATCTCTGAATAGTATCAAGAGATCTGTGTTATACCTTAGCGCCTCATCGTAGCACAGAAGCATGTCGGTATCCAGCACAATTTCAGAGTAAACTCTTTACACACATCTCCATGCGCATGAAGGATCGAGCAGTATTCCTTGTCGTGTACTCTGCTTTACCCGCCCTCTCTAAGCCTGGTGATCTCACTAGCACTTCCTGATACCTCCCGCCCTAGTCAAATAACCTACCAAGCCTTTTCGGCTGGAGAAAAAAATACAGTTTTTGCAAAAACGAAAAGGACACAGATGCGTTTTGGTCATGACGCCATCAAGGTCTATCGCGATTTTTGAATTCGAATTCAAGACTTACATTTACAAAGCAGTCTCAGATTTTGCTAAATATGTAAATATCTAACTAGCCTACAAAATATGAACCTGCACAAACTGTAAACATCTAAATATCTAACTGTCTAAGAGGTCGATAAAATGTGAACCTGCATAAATTGTAGTTATGTGTTTTCTAAGTGCAAGAAAATGCAGCTTTTGTTTTCAGAAATGCCAATACCGGTTTTCGAGATGCAAATTCATCTCGTTTTGGATTCTAGAACGCAAAGTCAGTTATTTTCGCATCTCAGGATTTAAAATCACTGTTTTTATACATTTCAGTATGCAAAATCACTCTTTTTTGCAGTTCAGGATGCAAAATGCCACATGTACATCTAAGTCATTACGTGACCTTGATTCGCTCCAATCGGTAAATTTTCGCAAGACTGCCATTACGACCATGCCAACGACGGAACTGATCTTACGACTTGCAAACTATTTCAACCTGCAGCTTCTGGAGCTGAAAACTGTACAAACTTTCTCGAAATAACGGCATAAAAGTTATATTCCCGTTGGAAAAATTTTCTGAACCGACTCACATGATCTGCGATTTTGATTGCTTTACGATTGCGAGATTTATAAAATGAGAGAGGACGCCTGTATCCCTCGTAATTTGCCGATTGACACGCGGTTCAATAATGGAATGCAAAGAGTCCTTTAAGACTGAATGTCCCTGCCAAACGACATTATAATATAATAATAAAATACGTATTGATCAGTAGTTTGCGTAATAACAGTAAAATAAATAGAATCATCCCGATGAAAGGAATTCATTTTGCTTCAGCAAAGAAAAACTTATAAAATTCAAGTCGTTAAGGCAGAATGTCCCTTCTACGAGACATTCTCTATCGCTATATGGAAAAAAAGCTAATTTTTTAGCTATAGCACGAGCATACTCAGGGTCCATAATCTCTATTTTTGTGATCAGCTTCCTCGCGTTGTCAAAAAAACGTTCCTCGGCTTTTAAGGGTTGACCAAAATCAGAGAGAAACGCAGTTTATAACCTGAAAACTGCAAGAAATGAAAATTTATTATATATCGACCGCAGAAATCGAGGCATTATATTTAAAAATGCATGAAATGAAGTTTAAAAATCACAAAATACGTAGTTTTAATCACAGAAGGAAGGAAACGGCTACAACATATAAACTGAAGAAAACCAAATTTTATTTGTAAATTACACGAATGGGCTTCTGTTAAACTCTAAAACAATCAGGTAAGGAAAAAATGCTTTCCGGTCTCTCTTTATTATGGGTTTAATATAGTGTCCGTAATTTGGATAATGTAAAATCGACACCAAGAACTATAAACAAAACATGGTTAAACTTGGATTTTCAAAGGTTAGATGCTCAATTTCCAGTGAAGAATTGTCATTAAGTAATTCAATGATAACATTCTTTCTCGTACCAACTCTACTACATACTTCAGAACTTCATATTGAATGGTTATTTATTTTTCATAAAACAGGGACAGTGATAATAGTTCAACAACATCAAAAACAAGTAGAACGTTGCTTTATATTGTTGACGAGTATCCAGTTCAACTGAATTCATTTATAATAATTCAATTCCATCAATGTTTCTACATTAACTGATATGCAATGACGTTCAATGTTTGAAAGAATATTATTCTAAACAACTTCAATGATCGAGAGTTATTGCTCTTGTGGTGATTGTGATATTCGTGTTCACAATACAATAAGGCAGATTTATTTCGAGGAATTCAAGCGTCAATATCGATTGATTGTTGTATGTTCTCGATGTACACAACTACCATCCAACATCAACGTACACAAAATTTCTTCCATATGTGCATCATAGGACACTGTGCTAACTGACGATTATAATCGTGATCGGTTAAGATATTCATATGCTGGAGAGAATTGGTGTAGCAAACTAGATTCTTATGATTTAACCGAATCAGTTTGGATGTTCCAGTAGTGCCATAATTATGGCATCGTTACTTAGAGTGATAGATGGTAAAGTACAGATGGTACCGTTGAAGTCTGTCGCAATGCTATCTTTCAAAATCACAGTAAATATCTCCTATTGCGAATACGCGAAGGACCATTTCAACTGACCGCTCGACAGATTGACAGATAACATATTCAATTTTCACTTGATATTTGGCAATTATTTACCGTGTTAACTGTTGTACGTGTTTCGTCATACGTTAAACTCTGTTTATCTAAAAACATGGACTATAGTGTATCGTGCAGACAGATTCGGCATTCCCGCAAATATCCTGCATGGAACTCACGTTTGTCTGAAACATTACACATGCTGTGACAATGAATGCAGATTAATATTGCCACAATGCTGATAAGCGGAGGGCAATTTCTGCTTTAGTCCTTCATTTTTTTTTCAAGTTGAATGATCATCCTTTACTCTCAAGGTTCCGTAAAAGCTTTTAAGCATGGGTTTTTCTTTGTTATGCTACATTTCGGTCACGCTTCCTCGAATAAATAAAGATGACGTTATGACGAACATTTCTATTGTTCTGTCATTCCCACTGGAAAAGAGTTTAAAGAAGAGGTAAATGTATCTGCTTTTTGCCTTGAAAAGCTCTTTCGAATGGCGTTTTTATGACCTGTTTCACTCCATGGTTGGTTTCTAAAAAATTCGAAATGGACTATGTTGATTAAAATCAGGAATAATTAGTAAACCTAGTGACTCAACACGATCTATATCGATTTTCTTGAAGTGAATTGTAATATGGTTCATACACCATACTCTACACGATATTAACGACTTCGAATTATTTCGGGGGTACAAGATGAGTTTTCAAAACAGCTAGAGTAAGATAAACTTGAAAAACATTATAACTCAACTATCCATGAAACGATGGGGAGAGAAAGTTTTCGATATACGTATTTCAGTCTAGGCTACAAAATAAGATATGCTTGTAGCAGCATATAGAAGATTTTACCACCCTCTCAAGCCATTAGAAGTAACAGAGAACTTCTGTTTAAAATCAACTGATTCAACACCTAAGCTGCGTAAAAGAATTTCATCTGGTTGTATTTTCATCTTTTAGCATTTTAAAACTGTGTTCTAATCTATTATTTAAACATTCTTTTTCAGATACGGTTCGTTTCACGTTTGTGTTATCATTTTCTCTTCGACAATATTCGATAGAATGTAAATGAACATTAGTACGACCACCAAAGCAGATACAATCAGAATAGTCGTTAATATCGGTACTAGTGATTCCGGTATCGTATAGTGTGTCCAGGGGTTCGAGTTGGTTGTGTTGTTTTATATGAACGGTGTTGATCTTGTGCGGAATGAATAGTATTGTAAAACGTTATATAGCAATTTCACCTAGTACTATACCAAGTGAAACAGCTTTCTCCATTACCAGTTATATTTAATGAAAAATCAGCGCTCGTTTGTCCCAAATGGGTTACGATAACAAAGGAAAACGTATGTAGTTACCGCAATGGTTTGAACCAACGAACTTCGGTGCCAGTGCCGGAAAAAGTAGTCTTCTGATCAGGAAATCCGCGATCTGTCCTTGGAAGAATCAATGTCTTAATCAGAGAATCAAGGGGTATCCTTTTTACATTGCGATTATCTGGTCACTGCTCTGAGCAGACCATCTGATCCTTCACTAGAGTTTCTATTGATCAGATAAGACTAAGCAGAAACATAAATGTACTTACTACAGTACAAGAACAAAAGTTTA